TATTGGAAAAGCCAATTTGGCTGAAGCCATTTTTAAAAATGAAGGCCCTGTAAAATGAATCCACTTACTGCTGCCAAATTTTCCAGTGTGCTTATTTGGTAAAGCAGAAAAAAAAAATTGTTTTTGTGGGTTTTTTTACTTTGAAGTGTGAAGAAAGTGCTATTGGGAAACTGACCACAGTGGCTCATACCTGGGAAGTAGGCAGACTAGAATATATGCAGAGCCCTGCAGGAGCAGAAAAAAAGGTCTTATCTAGATGGATCCTATGCTGGACAGAGTGTTTTCAGCAGTGACCATCTAGATGCCTACTGAAGAAGTAAGCAGTGACCCATTAAAGCTCATACCCTGCCACAAATTTTGTTAGTCTTTAAGGTTCTACTGGACTCTTAGTCTTTTCTAGATGCCTACTGGAGAGGGGATGAAGACTATAGCATTCTCCCATTGTTAATTCCCAGCATCTCTGATTCTGGGGTATTGCCCCAAGCCTGAAGATTTGATTTAGTCAGCATGGTTAATAGCCACTGAGAAGCCTTATCTGTGCGTTTGTCTAATATACTTCTAAAGCCATTTACACTCGTTACTATCACCCCATCTTGTAGTACTGAATTCCGTCAGTTAATTATGCATCAAGTGAAAGAGCCCTTCCTTAATTTTTCCCCTCTATCAGCTGCCAAACAATTTTGTGGGATGACCCCCAAAGTTCTAATGTTATAATACAGAGTAGGGGAAACAGCTCTTTTTAGACCACTCGTGATTTTATAAGCCTCTACATGTCCCTCCTTAGTCCTCTTTTTTTTTATAAACTGGAAAAGTAAAAGAGTCTAGATATTAGAACACGTCAAACTTTTTTTTGTACTCTTTAATCTCTGACCAAAACCTCACTAATCGTCTTCTCAATTCCAGTTTTTAAAAAGAGAGGATAGATTTTAAAATAAGTCTAAAATCAGTGTGCCTGAACTGAACACAAAGTCCACTATATTCAACAGTGGCTATCCAGGTGCTTCCAGAAAGCTTGTACAGAACTTGTACATCATGACACTCTGTTTTCCTTTTCCTCTCCCCCCCCCAGTTGGTTGTACTTCAGACATACGCTTGTGGCAGGGGTTCTCTTCTTGTGAAACCTCTCTCCCTTCTCCACCCCAGCTCCCACCCAACCCCTCTGTCTCTCCTCCCGTGCTCCATGTGCATTTTTGTGGGCACAGAGTTCCTTCTCTTTATGAAAACTCTCAGATCCTTTCATTCTGTTAGCCTCATCTCTGCCAGTTGGTCCTTCAGTGCGCCACAGTGCTTGCACTAGGGTTGCCAGCCTCCAGGTGGGGCCTGGGGAATCTCCCGCTTTGACAACTGATCTCCAGCTGACAGAGATCAGCTCCCCTGGAGAAAATGGCTGCTTTGAAGGGTGGATTCTATGGCATTGTACCCTGCTGAGGCCCTTCCCCTCCCTCAAACCCCACCCTCTCCTGGATCCACCCCTGAAGTCTCCAGGTATTTTCCAACCCAGACCTGGCAACCCTAGCTTGCACAGTGGAGCCCTCCTCCCTGTGAGAGCTTTCCCTTGCCTTCTTACTCTTCCTGCCTGGCCTGACCACGAGCCTTCTCACTTGCCTCATCCCTTCGGGTTTGGTGCATGCTTTGCACTTAATGGTTGCGGTGTAGTGGTTCAGAGCCAGCATGATGTAGTGGATAAGAGTGATGTACTCTAATCTGGAGAACCAGGTTTGATTCCCCACTCCTCCACATGAAGCCTGCTGGGTGACCTTGGGCCAATCACAGAGTTCTCTCTGAACTCTCTCAGCCCCACCTTCCTCACAAGGTTGGTGTTGTGGGGGGAAGAAGCGGAGTATAAAAACCTAGTCTTCTTCTTCTGTGACCTGTAGCTTGTACCTCACTGTGGTACACCTCCTGGTTCTTGGCTTGTATTTCCATTCCAGTCTTCTTCCCACAGTCCTGTTTTTTACGCCAGTGAGGCCATCATTCCGCTTCATCTTCTGACTGTCATTGACTCTGCTGTCCTGTACTTTCCTGTCATGTAACTGATGTTACTGATTTGCTGCTCAGTGGCTTCTGTGCTGCTTCCTGGGAATTAAAGATGTGTCCCTGGTGTGGAACAGTTGAAGACCACTGCTCTAAAGTGCTCCAGATGACATATGTAGTAGGTTATGTTGAAAAAGGATGATTCACCCCCCAAATCAGCAAATTAAACTGTAAATTAAAACCAAAATAAAACATAATCTCACATTTTGGGGGGCATATTCCTGAAGTGATATGGGCAGGAAGCATGAATGCTTAAGATAATTTTACATGGGTTATTTGAGCACATACATCCTATCTTACCTGACTTTTATTGTAATCACAGTTGGAAACCGTGAAGTTGCTGTGCGAAGGGAGAGACTCAAAGGGCATTGGCTGGAAGGAATGGAGACACAATAAGGGCTGCACCATGATGACCCGATTATCGCTAAGCCCACCCATTATGGCAGGACAATCTCCTGTCTCCCCAAATAAAGGGCCTACAGCAACTGCACAGTATCACTTGCTTTGCCATAATACATGTCTATTCTATGGTGTTGTGGATTTGCTAGGCTGCCGTGTGAATTAGGCTATAGCCAGGCTATAACGGTGCTGGGTTTTCTGAAACTCTTGGGTGCCCCATCATCTTCTCTTTGTAAACTTCGTAGGTCACCTTGACGGTTATGGGCAACAGCTGTGTAGCTCAGAAGAGTGAAGAATTAACCAGTAAAAATAGTAATTACATACCTGGGGGAGCAGCTTATGTTTCCAGTTTTACATTTCTTTCATTAGAAGAGATGAGGGGGAAATCCTTGGATCCACCTGCCTTCCTTTTATCTGTGTGATGCCCTGTGTGTGGTCTAACATTTGAGCCTGTGTTTCATGTTTGTATTTGTTTACAGTTTTTCTGCTTTGTTTCTCAAAGGAGCAAGCTGCACTTCCAGTTTAAAAATCATTCTAATCAGGGGGTTTGTGTCTGTGGAATAAAACCTGGAATAGCAGTTTTACTACAGTACGGAATAAATGTCTGTTGGTCAAATGTTGATATTGAAAATTATAGCTTTGCATGTTGGATCTTCCTGTATTTTTTTAAAGTGTACTATTTTCTGGATGGGAAAATTATAGATTTTGACTGGTTAACTACTACATGAAGCAACTTTTCATCTTAAGAGCATTTCTTCCCCATTCTCCAGTGCCAGATTTTATCTTGGTTAACATTTTTTCCTCATTTTGCAATAAAAGCAGTTGCTTTTGTTGTATTATTTAGTATAGTTTTTCTGGAGGTGATTATTGGTGCAGAAATTTATTATTGTGTGCAGTCAGATTCTATAAATTCTGATGAAGCAATTCAAAAACACCTCAACACATCAGCTGTAAAGCTTCAAGCATGATTTAAGAGTCCTTTGTTATATTAGACATCTGCATTTTGTTTCAGAACCTAGAGTGGCTTTTGAACATGCTAGAGAGTTTGGTCACATAAATGGTAGAATTACACAGAGCTGCCAGTGAAAATGATTTCCCTATATGGAGTTCTCTCACTTTCTCTTTCTCCCCCACTCTGTAAAACAAATTTTAGCTCAACATCCATTATACTATTTGTTTTTCTGCCTTGCATTCCACATAAGCCGCTTTTCCTGCTGGCTGTTGCATGGGAACGTACAACGTGATGTTGTCCGAATACAGGCTAAAATGTACTACGAGTTATTAGAGGGTTGCATTGACAATAGAATGCTGTTTCCACTGGCGGCCCATTTTTCTGGCAGAGTGGAATTCCTCTGTGAAACTTTTTTCTGACTCACAGGAGCCTCCATTCGGTTTTTATGTGAACCTGTATACCTAATGAGGTAGGAAGATGCTAGTCCTGTGAATATTTCTCTCCCCCCCCCTTAGATAACATTACATATTTTCCTGTCTTAAAAAGGAATGTTTATATGTCAGTCTGTATTTCTTAAGACCACAGTATGATTTTGTGCCAAGAAGGGAGTTAAAGTATTTATTTTAAAAAAATTATCCCATTTTTCTCCTGCTCTGGGGACTCAGATACATGAAACAAAATGCAATTTAAATAAATACATATAACTCAAGAGGCCCCCATGTGCCCTTGGTGCAGGAGATCAGCTACAAGGTGGGCTGGGGCTGGGGCAGGGGCTGGGGCTGGGGCTGTTCCTGACAGCATGGTTCACAGGAGGCCATGGGATAAGCTTCCCAGGGTGAAGAGCTTCTTGGCCATGTTCAGCCTTTAAGGGGAGAGTTCTGGTCTTCTTGACCTGGCTCTGATGTTCTATATTTCCTCCCCTCCCAAGATTTGCATAGATATGTGTATTAATGTTAATGTTCATCCCTAAGATAATCTCCAAGGTGCTTCCCCATTGAGGCAACAGGTTTCCACCAAGTCAACCTCTACTTCCAGAAAGTGTGTGTGTGTGTGTGTTTGGGGGGGGGGACCCTAGTTGAGCCAGGAAGCAGGAGTCCTCTCTGAGCTGCTTTCTGTTTCCAGTAGGAAAAGAGGAGTGCTCTGTTGGGCAGTATTTCATCCATACAGACCCCTTCCTAGGCACCTTTTCCTCCTCTTTCCCCATTTTCCTTTTAAGAAAGAAAACTAAAGAGCAGCTTTTCTCTTTCTTGCAGGAATGTATGTACTTTATATGGTATGCTCTCCAGATATTGCTGTTTTTTTCTCCTTGGCTCAAGGAGCACATGGCTACTTTCCCACTTGCACCAACCCTCTCCCTTCCCAGTAGGGCTACAGATCAAAGTCAGATGTCCTTTGATAAAGAATCTTGGGATGATGAGCAAAATGGAGCAGATGGGAGCCCTGAGTCATGTTCTTTTCCCAGTTACGATTCAATCTGAAACAGTAATTTTACTTTCATGTTACTCTTATATCATCTGCTCATTAGTTGTGTGTAAAAACTATTTAAATGTTTCCAGCTAATTTATTTGAAGTAAGTATCTTGTTTCTTTCCCCCCCCCACCTTTTTTTGTTCAAGCCGCTGCCCAAACACATGGTATCAAGACTCTGTGAATCTAAAAAAGTTTGTGCTGCTGCTGATATGCAACTTCAGGTATGTTGATTGATTCCATCTGACAAATAAGCTATAACGCATTTGAGGTTCATACGCTATCATTTAAAAGATATAACCCAGTGATGTAGGTTCTCTGAATATTTGAAATGAATCACTGCAAACATTTTACATTTGTTTCTTAATATAGTCTGCCTCATACTTAAATATTGGTAGACTGACCCATCTCTAGATCTTGGGGTAAGTTACAGTTTCAAAGTTACACAAATCTAAATGAAATCTGACTTCTAAGTCTAGGTACCAAAAAGTTAATTCAAAAGTACCAAAGGTTAATCCAAATAAAAAGGTCAGCAATGTTTCTGAAAGTATGCTCAGGCAGATCTGCAAGGGTGGATCATTTACCAAGAATTTCTTTCTCTGGGTCATGGCAGATATTGCTCGGGTTCCCTTGTAACTGTGGCTAAGAGTCAGCCTCAGGAACATATTTTCCCTTTCTCCAAAATGAATTCCTTCTTCCTCCACCCTAATATAATGGAAATATTGGTACTGATTTTACCATGGTTAATGCCAATCAGGGTTCCCTGATAAACCAAGATGTGAAATGACAGGAGTATTCATTCACATCAGGTGGGATTAGAGTTGGTATCAGCATTTCCTTTAATTGCAGTTGAGTCAGGAAAGGGGCAAGGGAATTGCTTCAGGGACAACGGTAGGCGTGTTCCTAAGATTGGCTCCCAATTTCACAGTCATGTGTAAGAGGTCACCGGTGTTACATCAGTGCCAGTCCTGTGTGCTTTTGCTGTCTAATCTTGGTGTGTAGACAGAATGACCAAAAGAGTGATCCTGAGTGCCTGAATCTAGGTTTGCCTTGTAACACCTGGTCAGAGGACTGAGCTAGAAAGCGTTAGGGTTAAACCGTAATAAAATGTAAAGTGTGATCCTCAGGCTGTTTACTTGCAGGCAAATCTCACTGAGAGAACGAAAGTCCCAAATACATGTGTGTAGGATTGTAGCTTTAGTTGGTGGGCCCATTAGGTGAAAGGGCTTGGAAACTACAAGTCTAGGACATAAACACTCCGAGCAAGAGCAAGCAGGCCCAGCTATGTGTTTGCATTCTGGCAGTGGACTTGAAAGGTTTGTTAAGCTTGCCGATGTGTGTTTGAGAAACTCATCATTCAAACGGGAGCAAACATAATCCTTAGGGAATGTTTACATTTTAGATGTAAAGACCCAGATAAGGGCATCAACCAGAACAAATGTATAACAATAAAAAATGAATACGTTTTGGCAAAATCACAAGCTTAAATGTGTTCTTGGAATGTGTTTTTTAAACTCAAATGTAATTTACTTTAAAGAGGAAACATATTAAATGGCTGGTGCAGAATGCAGCAGCGAGGCTGTCGCTGTGTCTTCCCATGCGGGAGCACATCCAGCCAGCCCTAAAAGCACTGCACTGACATAAGAACATAAGAGATGCCAATGTTGGATCAGGCCAAAGGCCCATCCAGTCCAACACTCCGTGTCACACAGTGGCCAGAAATACCAGGTGACATCAGGAGGTCCACCAGTGGGGCCAGGACATTAGAAGCCCTCCCGCTGTTGACCCCCCCCCCCAAGCACCAAGAAGACAGAACATCACTTGCCCCAGAGCCCCTATCTATACCTTGTGGCTAATAGCCACTGATGGACCTCTGCTCCATATGCTTATCTAATTCCCTCTTGAAGCCGTCCATGCTTGTAGCTGCCACATCTTATAAACCTCGATCATGTCACCCCTCAGTCGTCTTTTCTCCAAGCTAAAGAGCCCTAAGCGCTTTAACCTTTCCTCATAGGGAAAGTGTTCCAACCCTTTTATCATTCGAGTTGCCCTTTTCTGCACTTTTTCCAAAGCTATAATATCTTTTTTAAGGTGTGGTGCCCAGAACTGCACACAGTATTCCAAATGAGGTCTCACCATTGATTTATATAGGGGCATTATTATATTGGCTGATCTGTTTTCAATACCCTTCCTAATAATCCCCAGCATAGCATTGGCCTTCTTTATTGCAGTCACACACTGTCTCGACATTTTCAGTGAGTTATCCACTACAACTCCAAGATCTCTCTCTTGCTCAGTCTCTGCCAGTTCAGACCCCATCAATGTGTATTTATATTTAGGATTTTTGGCTCCAATGTGCATCACCTTGCACTTGGCCACATTGAACCCCATTTGCCATGTTGACGCCCACTTGCCCATCCTTGACAGATCCCTTTGGAGTGCCTCACAATCCTCACCACCCTGAACAACTTCGTATCATCCGCAAATTTAGTCACTTCACTGCTTACTCTCAACTCCAAATCATAATTGAACAAGTTAAAAAGCACTGGACCAAGTACTGGTCCCTGCGGTACCCCACTGCTTACCACCCTCCACTGAGAAAATTGCCCATTTATACTCACTCTCTGTTTTCTATTAATTAGCCAGTTTTTGATCCATAAAAGGACTTACTTAGGAGAACTTACTTAGGAGCCTTTGATGAGGAACTTTATCAAAATATTTCTGGAAGTCAAGGTAAACAATATCTATTGGATCCCACGGATTAGGTTCAAGGTACTGGTTCTTACCTTTAAAGCCCTATGTGGTCAAGGACCTACTTACCTAAGGGACCGCCTTTTCCCACTTATTCCCCAGAGAGCACTAAGATCAGGGTCCAAAAACCGATTGGCCCTCCCAGGCCCTAAAGAAGCCAGGCTAGCCATGATGAGGGCCAGGGCCTTTTCTGTGGTGGCCCCACACTGGTGAAACGAGCCCCCAGATGACATCAGAGCCCTGCGGGACCTTTTACAGTTCCGCAGGGCCTGTAAAATGGAACTCTTCCACCAGGCCTTTGATTAGGGGCCGCCTGTTAATACGTGGCCCTGGCTCCAACATCAGTACCAACTAATAGCCTGGTAAGAACCCGGACTATGGGGGTAGGGGTCCATCTGGATGCTGAAAGAATACCTCCATCGCTCACCATGTCTACTGGCACTTATGATTTTATATGCTGTGGTTTTATGTAAATTTTATGTTTTAACGTATTTTGATGTTTGTGTGTGTGTGTGTGTGTGTGTGTGTGTATCCTGTAAGCCGCCCTGAGCCTGGCTTGGCAGGGAGGGCAGGATAGAAATGAAACAAATGAAACAAATAAAATAAATAAAATAAATGAACGTTCAAAATGAGGATTGATTCCATTTTTGATAAATTATGCAGATAGTATATAGCCTCGGTCGTAATAATCCATCTTCCCCAAATTTGCCCATGTGCAGTATATCCAAAGAAGGATTCTGTTCATCTGGAACAAAATACTGAACAAGGCCTTCATTACAGATATTTCTTCTCTGCTGGGTTTTTTTTTATGAAAAGCATACCCGATTTGCATTATGGCTCTTAGATGATTGAGATAGCTTCTGGTTAAATAATTAGAACTACTGCCTGAATGAATGAATGAGGAAGTCTTGGTAACCGCCTTTTTCACCTTCCGTCCTCTTATTAGCTACAAGAAATATTACTTAGTAGAAATTCATGGTCCAAGGGAGAAAGCAGTAATGCTATAGTAATGCCGTCAACCAGTGTGGTGTAGTGATTAAGAGTGTCGGACTAGTATCTGAAAGACCCAGGTTCGAATCCCCACTCGTGCCATGAAAGCTTACTGGGTGGCCTTGGGCCAGTTGCACTCTCTCAGCCTAGCCTACTTCACAGGGTTGTTGTGAGGATACAATGGAGACAAGGACAATGATGTAAATCACTTTGGGTTCCCATTGGGGTGAAAGGTGGAGTATAAATGAATTAAATAAATGAATGAAACTTAAATGTGCATGTCAGGTTAAATGTGCATGTCATGTGCATGTCATGTCAATTCAGTCCTTGCTTGCTGATGTATGTAGGGATGCCAGTCCCCAGGTGCGGGATCCCCAAATTTCAGGGGTTGCTGCCTGTGGCTGGTGGGGGAAGCCCCCCCCCAACAGTGGCCACCCCACAGCCACCCCTATCCCTCTGCTCCTGCCAGATTTAAAGGGCCCTTCAACTGATTGACAAGAGCACGTGGCCTGCCAGTCAGCTGGAGGGCCCTTTAAATCTTGCAGGAGGGGAAGGAGAGGGGTGGCCGCCAGCTGCACGCCTGCACTCCAGGCAACGAATTTGCTGCTTGGGATTCAGGTGCATCCCCAATGTGATGACATCACTTCTGATTGATGTCATCATGTTGGGGACATCCCCTCCCCCTCCCAAAGTCCCCTGCTGAGAAGGAGGCAGGACCTGGCAACCCTATACGTATGACAGGGAGGAACTGCAGGTACACTGCTCAGGCTAATCACAAGATTTACCCTGGGGTCAGTGACTGTGTTGATTGCCACAAGAAAACATGGTGAGTGCTGGTGGTCATTATTGTTATTATTATTTGGACTTTTAACCCCCAGTTACTGGTAACCTGAATAACCAGTATAGGCAACAAGGAAACACTGGTTCAAAGAAAAAGGTCTGTCTGACTATCAGTCACGTTTTTATCCCACTTTCTTCCAAGGCATACACACTTCTTCTCTGCTCCAAGGTTTTATGTCATCTCACAAATATCCCCTGAACTCAACTTTTGGAGGACCTTCAAAAGGGGTTTACAGAAGGGAGGAGTAAGCACATTGAATGCTATCTGCATGTCATTGGTATAGCAGAGGCTTGAAGAGAGGCATACTTGAAGGGAGCTCTCCTTTTATCTTGAGTTCCTAATGGAGTGTAACGGAGAACACTGACTTTGTTATACAAAATCCATGCCTTCGAGGGGTTAAAATTAGTACTTAGCCGGGCCTAGGGATCACTAGGGGTGCTGATGTAATGTGCTTCTACCAGCTAGTTGCTGTCAACCCCTAGTGGCCCTAATTGTCTGTCTCCTGCTTCTCTGAACAATCACAGACTTGTTATCATGCATTGTTGATGCCATTTTGTGCATTACTGGTTTGGCAGTTGCAGGAATCTTTTGCATATGTACATACCAAGAAAACCTGAACATGCAAAGCTTGTTGACCTTGCCTCACAATCAGGTTTATATATTGGCACGTCTACACAAATGGAACAAAAGTGAGAAATCCTGCAGAGAAGAAAATAAACATTTTGGCTAATTTGCACATCCAGGTATGTGGAGAAAAATATAAATCTTAACGGATCTGGTCAGCTGCATATTGCTCATGATTGTGGAGCTTTGTTCCCAGTTAGCTATAACGTCCAGTGATGTGCATTATGTGTCCGCGAAATCCACAGAAAATATCATTCATGAACCAGCTTTTTCTTGAGAGATACTTTTGCCCTATTCACATGTACCTCCAAAGTTTGCAAAGCCTACATGTGGTGGAGCAAGATCGCTTATTCTCCCACCAACTCATCCTCAGGTCTGCTTAATGTCTATACTTTGCAGCATTTAAATGGGGTCATTATTCCTAGAGTCTAACACACACTCTGGAAAGCAAACACAGAAGGCAAACATTCAGGGGAGGAGGCAGGAGCCCTCAGCTGCATGGTCGTTCTCTACCAAAACTGTGCCTACACACGTAGGTGTCATTTAGACATAACAAGTGGGGGACCCGCGATACTCACGGGAGAGGGGGACTTCCACACCTATGAGGAAGAGGAGGAAGCAGCAGGAGGAGGTAAGTTTCCCCCCTATCCCGCCGGTTCCCCTATCCCACCGGTTCCCCGTCTCCTCCACCTCTCCTCCACTCCCTGGCTCGATCTTCCCCTCCCCCTGCCCTGGAGCACACCCCCCCTCCGGAGTCCAGGTCTACCCACCCCTTCCCATTGAATGGGTAGACCTGGCCTCCGGAGGAGTCCAGGTCTACCCACCCCTTCCCATTGAATGGGTAGACCTGGCCTCCAGAGGAGTCCAGGTCTACCCACCCCTTCCCATTGCAGGGGTAGACCTGGCCTCCGGAGTCCTGGTCTACTCACCCCTTCCCTGCCCCTTCCCCTTCCCACCTTCCAAGGGGCGGGGCCCGCTGGAGGGAGGCAGAGGAAGCAGAAGGCGGAGGTAAGTACACCCCCATCCCGCTGTTTCCCGTCTCCTCCACCCCCCCTTGCCTTCCCTCCC